AGGACTGAAGGTCCAGTCTAGGGTGGTAAGAGTGGGAAGCAAATAAGAGATGAACTGTAGGTACGTGAAGATGCCACGTCTAACAAACGAAGCTCAGCGGAAATGACAAGCGGGTGCCAACACTGACAGACACTCATCTGTGAGCGGGTGTTTTAAGGTCACTGGAGTTGTCTTGTCCCCTTCTTCACAGCCGTCAGGCCCACAGAGATGTTTCTCATGACCTGAGCCTCGGGCTCTCCTGCACCCTTACCGGAACACGCTAGTTCCAAAGACTGATCCTTCTGAGGCTTAGCACCTTCTGGACAGAAAGTAATGAACCTAAGTGATTCATCTTTTTCACCCTCAACGTACCCAAATACACCCATCCTTCAACCTCTTCACTGTATTACCTATCTTACCTGTCTACGCCACCCATCCTACTCAGGATGCTCCTAAGAAAAAGACAGAGGACAGGGGCGCCTGGGTGGCTCACTCAGTTAGGTGTCTGACTCTTGGTTTTAACTCTAGTTGTGATCTCAGGGTCCTGAGATCAAGCCCCGCCTACATTGAGCCCCACGTTGGGCTCCACACTCAGTGCGGAGTCTGCTTTAGATTCTCTTGCCCGTGGCGTGCCTGGGTGGATAAGTTGGTTAAGCATCTGCCTTGGGCTCAGGTCATGATCCTGGGGTCCTGGAATTGAGCCCTGCATCAGGCTCCCTGCTAGGTGGAGAGTCTGCTTCAACCTTTCCCTCTGCTGCTTTCCCAACTTGTACTCTCTGTGTTTCTCTCTCTCTATCTCTGTCAAATAAATAAATAAAATCTTTTAAAATGAAAAAAAAAAAAACCTCTTTCCTGCTCCTTGTGCCCCTCCCCTACCTAAAATAAATAAACAGTTTAATTAAAAAGTAGAGGTACAGAGGCTGGGGCCCAAATCAGGACTAGTTGAGAACTGTTGTTATGGACTAATCGTTCGTGTCCTCCTTGCCAGAAAAAAAAATTTTTTAAGATTGTATTTATTTGAGAGAGAGAGAGAGAGAGAGAGCGAGCGAGCGAGCAGGAGTATCCTCACTTCTTGTGATGGCTTCATCTACAGCCTCATATCCTTCTAGGAAAATTCGGGACCTAGGGTGTCGTTAACAAACCACAGTCACAGTGGAAAGCTAGAAGTTCTCAACCCTATAGGCAACATGACATGCCTTATTTCCTCTGTCGTTCGCCGTTCCATTTTTACAAAGGGTGTCTTCTTCAAGGTTTGGTCCTTTGATTTACTTATTTTTAAATAAAGGAAGAAGAAACTGAGGCTAAGAGGGTATCATGAGATTTGTCCAGGGTTACAAAGCTAGTGATAGAATGAGCCAGGCCTCCTCTCCTCTATATCCAGAACCCTCCATGGTCTTCTGGGACCAGCAAGCCTGAAAGCCTTAAAGCCCTCAGTGTGCTAAGTAATACGTGAAACCACCTCGCTGAGGAAATTGTTTGGCTAAGGTTGCCCTGATCCAAACACTTTACATGGACTAATGTGTTTTAATCCTCGCAACCACCGTGTGGGGTAGATCCTCTGATCAACCAACCCCATTCATTCAGATGGAAAAATGCAGCGGGCACACATTCATGAACTTGCTCACAGTCATAGAGTGTGTGAGGAGCAGAGCCAGAAAAGAGACTGAGGACAGTGTTTTATTCCACAGTATCAGGTGTTCCAAAGCAGTTCTACTCTATTAACTGTATCAGTGTAACAGCTTTATGTTCAGATGCTCCAAACTAATGGGTGGGACATATACAGGCTGGATGAACTGCTTAATGCAAATCCATAAACCTACAGATGAGTGCTTTTAAAATATGTGCTTAAAAGTCTGGCTAAGGGGCACTTGGGTGGCTCAGTTGGTTAAGTGTCTGCCTTCGGACTCAGGTTATGATCCCAGGGTCCTGGGACGGAGCCCCGCATCGGGCTCCCTGCTCAGTGGGGAGCCTGCTTCTCCCTCTCCCACTCCCCCTCCCCCTGCTCACACTCTCACATGCTCATTCTCAAATAAATAAAGTCTTCAAAAAATAAACATAAATAAAAGTCTGGCTATTTAGGGGTGACAGGCTGGCTCCACTGGAGGAGCATGTGACTCTTGATCACGGCGTTGTGAGTTTGAGCCCCATGTTGGGTACAGAGCTTACTTAAAAAAAAAAGAAACTAAATATACTTTAAAAATCACCCAATTTAAATGAATAAAGAAATAATGGCTGACTAGTAGTCTTCAAACCTCTGGGTTTTATCTTGGCGCATCAATGAGGTACAAATCAGCTTGATAACATGTGTGGATTTATTTCTTAAGATTTGAGTGCAAACTTAAAAAACAAGAACAAACCAAGCTTTTCATTAGGAATAAACACAAAAATCGAAGTAACAACCCCGCGATCATGCATTTTAACAGAAAGTACAAAAAATGAATACATTCTAATTTGTAACTACATTCGAAAATTAAAATATTCCTCTGGAGTTCCAAATACGACACAATCATTAACCTGTTCTCATTCTGTCACCTCAGACATATCCATCATATGCTATCAGGAAAACACAGGCAAGGATTATTATTAATCAGCCTTTATGCCCGAAAGAAACATTCCTCTCCTTAACTTCTGACTCTTTGAATCATTTACCTGTATCTCAGTTCTGAAAGCTATACAATTATACCTCTGCTCTAAGAAAAAGAAAAGAAGCAATACAAGTATCAGGGAGGCAAGATATTTTCATGTCATTAAAGCAAAAGTCGCAAGTGTTCAACTTAGAAATGTACAGAATTGTAGTAAATTTTTAAAGTACAACTTCATTTGATGGCTGACACGTCCTAACAGCGAACAATTTAAACAGGTATAAAAATGTAGGATTAAAATCTTTAGGCTCAAATACTTGAAAAGTCACTATGAATATGGTAAGATCGGTTTACATAACCATGTATTTTTTTTTCTGATGAAAAATCAGGTGGGTAGTGGCATCTCCCTTGGTCCCTTAACAGTATTTGGATTTTCTCAAAGAATTAGCAGCACCCAACTTTAAGTGTTGATTCCATGTTTCTAAAGGACCTTATACAACTGATTAGTTGGCAGTGTTCTAGCTTTCAGGAGATGGGACTGGGCAGGGGTGCAAACACGGGAGTATGCATGCATTCACATATTTGAAATCACCATTCCAGACGGGAAAACAATTCACATATTGAAAAAAAAAATCTAAGGGACTTGTCCTTGAAGGATCAACAGTGGGCCAGAACAGTAGAAGCTGAATAGTAGTCTACTTGATGACTGGTTTTTCACGCTTCCAAGGCAAGTTGGGAAAGATGAAAATACTCACATACACATAACTTCAGAGAGAACTTGCCTTGAATTGGACACTGCAGAACACTGAACAGAAATCTTTACAAAAACCTTCATTCTTGCTTATAATAACATCAGATTATTTATTTTTTCCTTTTCACCACCATATACATAATACTTAAATATTTTCATTATAAATATCTTAGAGCAAAAAAGAATGTATTTAATTGCAGTGGTGGCCCACATCTGTACAAAGCAATGTAAGCAACATATATATATATATATATATATATGCATATGTGTGTGTGTGTGTGTATAAAATGATTAAGAAAAAAGTGCAAAGAATAACAGTATTAAGAATTTTTGCTTTTTACAGTAACTATGGTTCAAGTGTGAAAACCTGTCAGATCTAGAATCCCAGATTTTAATGAAAGAGTCAAAAAGAAGCCAAAATGCTGCACAAGTATCTTCCCTTTGCCCAAACCGAGCATTTCCAGTTTCTAAACTTTTCACACAATCAGGAAAATAGTGGTAACAGTGTGTTCTTTCCCTGTCACTTCCCCAAACCCATCCATGTTAAGTCATCACTCAGAGATCCAAACAAGATATTGGGGAAGTCAGTCATCATAACCCGCTTTGCTCACATTAAAGCTAAATGAAAGGCTTTCTGAAATAAACTACGGATCAAGAATCAAATCAGCAACAGCAAACAGACCTTCAGTTCCAAGTGTAATTTAATACGAGGACATTTGCAAATCAATCCCTGTTATCATAGGTAAATTCCAAATGGAAATCCTTTCCTAGGTTAGGTGCTATGCAAGGATCAGAATTCTAAGTATTTATGATTCTTTCACCTTTTCACCTTTTCGAACAAAGAAAGTGCTTCCTGTTAAAATTGGATTCATTTTTTATCATCTTACTCTTGGTCTCAGTTTTTTCTTTTGAAAAGACAGACAATTTTTGGCAGTCTTTAACATAATTTACCCTTAATCATTTGAATAATTAGTTACTGATTTTAAGACCTCCAAGTTTCAGAAAACCAGTTCAATTTCCCTTTAAAAATATATTACTAAATATTTTTGGTGTGTTTAACGTTGTTGTACTCAGACTTCGGGCACTGTAATTATTCACAATATTACAACGATTCTACGTCTAACTTATGCCAACAATTATGAATCCTAAAGTGGCTTCCAAGGTACTACTATTTGATTCTATTATATTATGATTGAATTTTGCCTTCAAGAGAAATGGTTGGAAGAGAATTTCAAAGCCCTGCAGAACTCCTGCTTTGAGTAGTGTTAATACATATTTTTTTGTCATGCTTAGTAGTTTAAGCTTCTTCTGAACTAGGAAGACAATAGACATTGGAAGATACGAATTGCTGCAAACTACATTCTACTCCAATTTATTTTGTTCCACATTATTTTCCTTTAAGAAAACAAGCATATCTTGGGCTGATTTTTAAAACAGAATTTTTGCTCTAAAATTAATAACACAGCTAAAGGGAAACAACTTCTCAATTTCAGCCACATGAGAACTAGGCAAAACTAAGTTAAAGTAGACTCAACGACTATCTTAATCACTTTGGGTTTTTTTTTTAAATTACCATGTCTTTAGAATGATATACCCCTTACATTCTAACAACTCAACAAGGCTTAAAACTCTAGAGCTGAAAACCCGCCAAGCCACCTCCCGCACAGCTGTAAATGAGAGGCAGCATTCTACTTGCCCCCGTACATTCGCTCAATGTCTTTGAGGTAATGGTTCTTCAGCTCCTTCCTCTTCAGTTTGAAAGCGTCTGTGACCAAACCAGTTTCAGGCGTCCATGGCTCTGGACTTAGGCGAACCTTGATTGGAATTTCAAATCGCTCCAGTTTCACTGAAATGAGAAGGGGGGAGGTAGGAGAGAGGGACGGACAGGGGAGAGGGGAAGGGTTGGTTAATTTAGGGTGCCAGTATCTTACAATCTCAGTTTCATTGTAGAGTTCTTGAAGTGTACATAAATCGTTTCAGTCGCATGTAGTTTTAGCCCACACATTTTTTTTTTATTCTATTGTATATGTAGACACCCTCCTCTTTTGAGTCTCCCTATTTGTCATTTCCTCTGCCTGGGCTTGTCTTCCCTGTTGGTAGCTGCCTAGCTCACTTTCTTACTCCATCTTGGTGTCTGCTCAAATGCTACTCCTCAGAGAAGGCCTCCTGGACCCTTCAGAACAGGAGTCCCTGTGTCTGCTTAGCCTCTCTATCCTCTGACATTAGACTTTTTCTTAAAGATTTTATTTATTTATTTGACAGAGAGAGATACAGCAAGAGAGAGAACACAAGCAGGGGGAGCAGACTGGAGAGGAAAAGCAGGCTTCCCTCTGAGCAGGGAGCCAGAGGCAGTGCTCGATCCTAGGACCCTGGGATCATGACCTGAGCTGAAGGTAGACACCCAACTGACTGGGCCACCCAGGCGCCCCGTACATTACACTTTCTTCAGAATGCTTCTCACCAGCCCACAGATTATACGTCCCCGTCTGACCTACTAGAAGGCAAGCTCCATGCAAGCAGGGGTCTTTTGTTCCCTGCCATCCACGGGGCTCCATCAAGAGCCCTCGATAAATGTGGACGTATGTATTCATTCATTCTGCGGAAAACTATGCCTCTAGACAACTGTTCTTCAGGAGCTGTATTCGACACTCAAGGAAGAATCAAAAGGGGGATGGTGAATTTCAAACTTCAGCAGCATAAGGATGTGAGACAGCACGTACCGTATCAGAGTTAAACAACTCAGCGCATGCGGAGAGAGGTAATGAGGCCACTCAGTCAATCAACCAAGTACTCCATAATTTTAAATTCAATTATATCCCCTCAAGCTACTTACTATTAATACGGGCTCATCCTGAAAATCCTGATGGCCCCTTAACGGCAATGTCAAGCTACAAGAGGAGCTTTATTTCACATGCCATGAGGTGAAGGGACATGGACCTGCATGGGTACAGTCTACCGCTAACCAGCCTGGGTGACTTTAGAAACAACTAGGTTTCCATGACAGGTGCCAAAACCTCAAATACATGGAATTTTTGACCTAATACTGGCCTGGAGGTTTAGGAAAACTTGCTTCGATTACTGAATTTCTCATTAAAATGAGAGAAAAATAGCTGAGTGTGGAAAAATAATCCTTCAAATTACATAGAACCAAATTCCTAAAAGTAGTCCCTGAAGAGGCAGTAAAAGAACAGGAAACTTGCTCAAATTTACCACATCTATTCTGTTGACACATCACAGCTCAGTTATGGGGAGGGGGGAGGTCCAAAGTAAACCCATCTGCTCCCCAAGCTCACATTTGGTTCTCAAAGAAACACTTCCATTCTCAAGTATAGATTTGGCTCCAGAACCTTTTATTTCATATTCCTTTCCTTATTTACATAGGCCCTATTCATAAAAGTCACTATATTTCATTTTTATTAACTAAATTCCTGTTCAAAGTGGGGAAAAGGCTACATGAGAGGTTTCATTTTGGGAACTCCTAAATATTATCTAGTACCACAAGCTTTAGAGAACAATGGGCAATCACCTCGTTTCTTATAAACAGGATATACTGCCAGCAAGTGAGAAAGAGCAGGGGGAAGAAAAAACAAACAGTATTTTATGCATGCCATTTTATCGGAATTACCTACATTATGAAACAGAGCCTATAGGTGGCAGCAAATGTCGACATTTCAAGCCACTGGTCTTTCTCAAATAACCACAAAACTACTAATTTGTATCCTTCTCTTTTAAATTAGACTTTATTATTATTTAAGAGCGAGCGAGCACACCTATGGGCGGGTAGGGAGAGGGTTAGTGGCAGAGAGAGAGAGAGAGAGAAAGCAAGAGAGAGACTCTCAAGCAGGCTCCATGCCTAGCATAGTGCCCAACCTGGAGCTCCATGCCATGACCCTGAGATCATGACCTGAGCCAAATTAAGAGTCCAACACTTACCTGACTGAGCTACCCAGACGCCCCTATTACTTTGTATTCTTAAGATAGATACTACTTATACCTGAAACCATGCCCATAAGGTCAATGAGGCTGAAATGAATAGGAAATTTCAAGCTTGTTTTTCAGAGACCTGTTTCTCCCGAATCTGCTACTCTTTCTTTCCAGACCCCAACAACGAATCCACTAGCCCCCCTGGTGGAGGCATAAACTGAAGGTCAAGGGTATGGTTTTAGCCTGTGAACAAGCAAGGCTCTGCAAGCATTCCTTCCCAGAGATAAGGAATCCGAGACCCCATCCAGTTTATACTGGATCATGGAGCTTGCACCAAGCCCTTCACCTTGTCCTAAGACGACCTCCTGAAGGCAGGGGCCAAATTTTGCCTCATTTTAATATTAAGTCTGTATCCCCAACAACACAGCATACAGGTTACAAATGTTTGCTCAAAGTCCACGCTCCATCTTTCTTAAGAATCGTTAAGTTTCCCGTGCGGGGGGTGGCTCAGTCGGTTAAGCATCCGACTCTTGGTTCCTGTTCAGGTCATGATCTCGGGGTTGTGAGGTCCAGCCCCCGCCTCAGGCTCCCCGCTCAGCATGGAGTCTCCTTAACACTCACTCTCCTTCTCCTCTTTCCCCCACACTCTTTCTCTCAATAAATAAATCTTAAAAAAAGAGGCATGTTCCCCCACCCTTTTCATCAATATGTATATAATCTCAACCCCTGTAAATGTTAAAAACAAACAAATAAACAAACCTTGTCCTCTCCTGAACAGGTAGTAAAGGAACATGAAAGTTGCTCAAATTAACCATGTCTACCTGCTGAAACATTACAGCTCAGTTATGGGGAGGCGTCTGGAACTGTGGAATCACTATATTGTACCCTAGAAACTAACATAACACTGTATGTTAACTATACTGGCATTAAAATAAAATTGAAAAAATAAAAATAAAAAAGGCTTTGTGGATGTCGGATGCTACTTCTGATTCACTGTTTTTTGAGTGTTTGTTGTTTCTCTGTAAAACTTGGCCGGGTACTGATTTCTTCTCCCTGAGTATCTGCCTATGACCCTTCCAACCAAGGCGTCCAACTTTCTCTCAGTCCCTCGACTTGAAATGATTTAAAATGAAAACAGCCCTTTTTCTAAAGCCCTAGGAACAGATGCTAGGCTACTTGAAATGAATGTCAGCGAAATGGCCACAGCGGCTCAACTTTAGACAACCTTCTTATCTGCTGCTGTGCATGGGCCACTCGGAAAGATCACCAGAGACATTAGAATGGCAAGCCAGGGAAATCTGTCCAGTGGCCACCGCCTGCCTCCCTCCAACTAAAGATGCTTCACACCTGATAGCTAGAAACCATCTCCCTGGCAGCTCTCAGGACTCAGGACAGGGGGTTTATACTTTCCCCCAACCACGAACGTCTATTTTCCTTTTGTTTCCAGAGAAAGGTCACTTATTAGTTCCTTGACCGCTTGCATAATATAGGCCTAAGTGTGAAAGCCCACCTACCCCACCGCCTCCCGAAATGAGACAGCCGTTTAACTGAACTGAACTTCTCTAAGACTACTGCATGAGATGAGGAGCACACCTCTTCCCTAAGGTCCACAACACAACTCTGGCTACAAGGGAACAATGCACACAATCTGTGTGATGTTTTTCTAAGAAAAATCTTGGTCTAAAGGGGGATCTCCCCACTACTTCTAACCAGATCTAGGGGAGCCGTGTCTTGGAAGTTGGAAGATAAATCTATTGATTTAAAAATTTGGTCCCCCCTTTCTCTAGTCACAATCCCAAGGAACCCCTTTCTCACATGTGCTGTCTCTCTCAAATAAATCTTTAAAAAAAAAGTATACTATTATTTTTTTAAAGGCTGTGTCTCCTACAGAGCATGACTCCTTCTGAACAAGTCTGGGGCTCTCTCTCACTTTGTGTTTCAAGGTTAAGAGTCCTGTGTCTTCTCCAGGGGTCATAACCAGAGGGGGCCCTACCTTCAGGTGCAACCCCCTTCTCTTTACAGATACACTTCTCAACACACAACAACTGCTTAAAAGGAACATAACAAGGGAAGCCTGGGTGGTAAAGTCAGCTAAACATCTGACTCTTGGTTTCAGCTCAGGTCATGATCTTGGGGTGGTGGGATTGAGCCTCGGGTCAGGCTCCATGCTAAGTGGGGAGTCTGCTTAGGACTCTCTCTCCCTCTGCCTCTCTCTCACCCCTTTCTCACATGTGCTGTCTCTCTCAAATAAATCTTAAAAAAAAAAAATGAGGTTGAAACGAACAGGAAATTTCGAGCTTATTTTTCAGAGACCTGTTTCTCCCGAATTAGCTACTCTTTCTTTCCAGACCCCAGCAACAAATCCACTAGCCCCCTTGGCAGAGGCATAAACTGAAGGTCATGGGTATGGTTTCAGCCTATGAACAAGCAAGGCTCTGTATACATTCCTTCCCGGAGATAAGGAGCCCGAGACCCCATCCAATTTATACTGGTTCACAGAGTTTGCACCTAGCCCCTCACCTTGTCCTAAGATGACCTCCTGAGGGCAGGGGCCAAATTTTGTCTCATGTTAATGTTAAGTCTCTACCCCAAAGTGAAATGAGATGTATATTACCTGTCTGTTTGCTCAACGCACAAGCTCCGTCTTTCCTCATTAAGAGTCGTAAATCCGCCCCCCTTCCTCCGTATGTATGTATTCCCAATCACTATGATTATTTGAAAAAACAAAAAGAAAAACCAAAAACCTAAGAAAAAACCCTGTGCTCTCCCCCTTCGGGGAGGTGGATGTGAGACTTGCCCTCCTGTTGGTTCGGCTGCCTCTCAATTAAGCCCTCTCCTTCCTGCACACTCGCTGTCTCAGTGACTGGCTTTGCTGTGTGGCTGCACCCATGCTGGGTCAGGTTAGGTACCTCATGCTTCTATTTAAAACATGAAGAGGCCGTCTATAAAAGATGTACGATTTCAGGCAGATTTAGCTGAATACAACCAAGACTATTTTATACTTTTCGCATTCAGTCTTTGAAATTGTCATTGGAAGCAAAAGTTTGGCAAGATAAGTATTTTGTGGCACAGGAAAACTAGGATTTATACATTGAAGCTCATGATTATTGTGTATTATCGAAATCATCAATTGTTTGATTTCCCGCCTCAGTCTAGGAAAGTTATGAGGACCCAGCAGGTCCTAGAATTTTATTCCATTTTTCATCTGATTGTGATCCAGGTTGACTTTCCCCATTATTGCTTTTACACAGTGAAATGTACAATGACAAATTATTTAAGTTGCATTTTCCCCATCAGTACATTCAGAGAGTGACTAAGAATAACAGCTTATTGGCTGAAATACTTTTTGAAATAGTGAATTTAAAAAAAAATTAGGATCTGTACCAAAGAAAATTCTGGGAGCCCAGTGACAGTAGTATAAAAAGTGTGGTATATCAATAATACTATAACTGACAAAGCCATCTTCAGTAAGTGCCTGTTTTCAGGGTCATAAACTTAATTTTGTACCTGTTAATAGGCCATCTGTCATTTAAAACTTTATAGTGTCTAGAGTTAACTATAAGAATGCTCTTCTTGGCGGAACTGGGGGGCCTGGGTGGCTTGGTGGGTTAAGTGTCTGCCTTCAACTCAGGTCATGATCTCAGGGTCCTGGATCAAGCCCCATGTTGGGCTCCTGGGTCAGTGGGGAGCCTGCTTCTCCTTCTCTGTCTGAACCTCCCCCTGCTCATGCTCGTTCACTCTCTCCCTCTCTCTCTCTCAAATAAATAAACAAATTCTTTAAAAAAAAGAATGTTCTTCTTGGGGAAAAAAATTTTTTTATTTCAACCTGGTAGTTAATATTATCAAGTAGTGAGTAGAACCTAAATAGTTAATTTAAAAGAATAAATTATAGTAGACTAGTTAGGGAAATAGCGGTGCTTATATACCTCAGATAAAAGCATAAACATGTCTACAGGTTTTCTGAGAGACGAGGAACTTATATAGCAACAGAGTTGGAAACAAGCCTTTAAAATATACATTTTCTTTGACTCAGAAATTCCATTTCCGGGGATTCATACTTACTGACTAACTAACTAACTAAATAAATAAATAATTGAGTATACATGACAATATGTTACATTTGTTTATAGTGTGTTGCCAGGGAGAGGAACTCACCCTAAAATCCAACAAAGACTTAAGGGGATATTCCTATGCCGGAATACTATTTAGCTATTGAAAACGACAATGCAATTCTTTATCTACTGACTTAGAGATATGTCACTGATGCTGACAGGCTGGGGACATATACCATAAACAATGTAACATTACCACCAAAGATACCACTACTAGAAAGTGATTTTTTTACTTCCTCCTTTATAATTTTCTGTACTGTCTGGTATTTTATGATGAATATACATAACCTAATCAGGAAAATGATGTCTTCATTTTTTAGGAGGGAAAGCAACAGGGTAAAACTAGGTTAATAGCTTCCTCATAAACATGAAGAGTTGGGTGCCTTGTTGGCTCAGTTGTTAAGCGTGTCTTCGGCTCAGGTCATGATCCCAGGGTCCTGGGATCGAGCCCCACGTCGGGCTCCCTGCTCGGTGGGAAACCTGCTTCTCTCTCTCCCCCAGTTCCCCTGCTTGTGTTCCCTATCTCGCTGTGTCTCTCTCTGTCACATAAATAAATAAAATCTTAAAAAAAAAACACAAACATGAGAAGTTCACAGTTTCTCTCTGTTCCCTTGGAAAGTAATTTAATCAGTTTAAAATAATCTTTTAAATTAAAAAAGGTAGTAACCACAAGGAAACAGCTGAGATGAGAGAAAGAGGACACTGGGTGAGTGTTCAACAAAATTTTGGAAGACCTAAAGCAAACGGACTAGCGGTAACTGATGGAGAGTTGAGGGACTTAAAGCTCACTGCCAAAAAAAGAAAAAAGAAAGCTATAAAAGCTCACTGCCAACAGAGGACACCAGTGAGAGGCAAATGGACCTCTTGAGCCCATGTCTCTGAAGACAGAGGTGAGGGATACACTGAAAAGAGAGTTCTGGCCCTCGGCCCTTTTTCAGAGGACAGCTCTTCTCCCTCGCCTTGCTCTTCTCCAAGCAGGATGGCAACAGGTTTACTTTTTGGAAAGGCTGAACTAGAGAGACTCTGGACTCCAAGGACACTAGGTATGACAGAAGGAGGGAACAGAGCTGAAAACAAAAGGATGCTGTGAGGGTAAGAGCCACCCACCCCACCCTCAGCCCCTTTCCAATTTCTTCTTTTTGGGTCCCCAAATAGGCAGTCATGCTACTATCCTCCAGGCAAGAGACTCAAGAAATCTTTACAGAAATGGGATGACTTCAGATACTAACTTTGAATAACCTCTCAGTGAAGCCCAGTGAGCTCTCCAAACACTATTTTAGTGCCTCGTTCTCAAGTATGAATGGACAGACAGGGATCCACGGGTATAGGAGAGGCTATGAGCAAAGCAAGCAGGAAGTGGAGCTTGTAGGAAACGAACAATAACAGGAGAAGAATACGCAGAAAAGGAATCCCTTGAACATCCTTGGGGGGAATAAGAGGCAACACAGTGAGTGCATTCATGAAAGAGCAATAGGATGCTATTAAAAGAACATGGAGGAAAGAGGAAAGAGCTCTTGAAAATTAAAATTCTGACACTGGAAGTTGGAAATTCAATAGACAGAGAGATGACAAAAGTGGAAGGATTCTGCCAGAATATAAAACAAAAAGGACAAGATAGAAAACAAAAGGAAAAAAAGGATAATAAATCTAGAGGATGAAAACAAGAGGTCCAACAGCCATATAATAGTAGTCTCAGATAAAGACACAAACACAGAACTTGGGGGAGAAAAGCCATAAAAAGAGCGAGCAAGCAAATAAAAAAAGATGAATGGATGTTTCCCGGAACTAAAGGGCAGAGATCTATAGATTGAAAGGGCGCACACCAAGTAACCATATGCAATGATAAACGATAAGAGATCCACACCAGGGCATCCCATCATGAACTATCAGAACAAAGACAGACCATTCCAAATACAGGATAGATGACCAGTTAGCTGGGATGTTGTAACATGCAACAAAGAACTAGGTAAGTTTTTCTACTATATGATATTTAAGGATCTTTCCAACATACAAATACATTTACATATATATATATATATTTATATACACTCACACATATATACATATATACACACTAAGGTATATATATAATATGTATATGTATGAAATTTGTATATATACATATATATATATAAATTTTTTCAAGAAGCAGGTTTTAAAAACCCTGTATTATGAAAACAAAATAGATAGACGTCTCAAAGAGCCTAATGCATAAGACATCATTAAATGACTTCTAGGTACTTAGTAGATTAAATGACTTCTAGGTACTTAGTAGATAAGCAATTTCTTACTTACTGGCATTGGCAGCTTCTCTAATTTCTTTCAGTATTTCAGCTTCCATGGCAGGGTTATTGCAGATATCAACCCAAGATCCTTCCACTCCTTTCTGTTGTGCCAAAAGTGTCAACCTTTTCTGATTAGGAACCACAAAACTAATCACATAGGACTGATCACTAAAAAATTAGAAAATAACACAAAATGGAAATTAAAACATGGAGAACAATTATTTTTACATTATCGACTAGAACAGTACACATAATTTCAAATACATATTTCTGTTAAGTGTTACAGTTTCATTAAGAAGTAATAAAACCCATGGCACCTGGGTGGCTCAGTCAGTTAAGGGTCTGCCTTCAGCTCAGGTCATGATCCCAGGACCCTGGGATCAAGCCCCACGTTGGGTTCTCTGCTCAGAAGGGTGCTTGCTTCTCCCTCTCCCTGTCACTCCCCCTGCTTGTTCTCTCTCTCTCTCTCTTAAATAAATAAAATCTTGGAAAAAAAAAGAAGTAATAAAATCCATAGTACTGGCATAACGATAGACATTTAACCAATGGAACAGAACAGAAAGCCCAGAAATATGACATATGGTCAAATGATGTTCAATAAGGGTGCCATCACCACTCAATGGGGAAAGGACAGTCTCTTTAACAAATGGGTGTTCAGAGAATTGGATATCCCTTCGTAAAGAAATGAAGTTGGACCCTCAGCTCACACTACATATGAAAAATAACTCAAAAAGGATCAAGGACTAAACATGTAAGAGGTAAAATTATAAAATGTCTAAAAGAATATGTAGGGGAAAAGATTCATGACACTGAATTTGACATGCTTTCTCAGATATGACACCCAAAGCAGAGGCAATAAAAGAAAAAAACTGATAAATGGGAGTACAATAAAAATTTAAAATTTCAGCATATCAAAGGACATAGTCAACAGTGTGAAAAGTCAATCTATGGAGCTGGAGAAAGTACTGGCTAGCCATATAGCTGATAAGAAGTTAATATCTAGACTATATAAAGAACTCCTGTAACACAACAGCAAAAAAGAAAACCCAAGTAACCCAATTAAAATATGGCCAAAGACCTAAACTTATAAAACTCCTAAAAGAGTATGGGTAAGCTCCTTGACATCAGCCTTGACAACATGTGTTGTTGGATTTGGTACCAAAAACAAAGGCAACGAAAGCAAAAATAAACAAGTGGCACTATATCAAACTAAAAAGCTCTGCACAGCAAAGGAAACCATTAACAAAACGAAAAGGCAACGTACGGGGTGCCTGGGTGGCTCAGTCAGTTGAGCATCTGATTCCTGATTTTGGTACAGGTCATGATCTCAGGGTCATGAGCCCGAGCCCCACATTGAGCCCCACATTGCGCTCCTCGCTCAGTAGGGAGTCTGCTTGAGATCTTCTCTTTCCCTTTTCCCCTCCCCCGCAAATAAATAAACCAATCTTTTAAAAAAGGCAACCTGCAGAACTTGAGAAAGTATTTGAAAATCATTTATCTGGCAATGTGTTAATAACCAAAATGCATGAAGAAGTCCTGCAACTCAAGAGGGAAAAAATCTAATTAAAAAATGGGTTGAGGGGGCACCTGAGTGGCTCAGTTGGTTAAGTGACTGCCTTCGGCTCAGGTCATGATCCCGGGGTCATAGGATCGAGTCCCACATCGGGCTCCCTACTCAGTGGGGAGCCTGCTTCTCCCTCTCTCTCTGCTGTTCCTCCCCCTGCTTGTGCTCTCCCTCTTGCTCTCTGTCAAATAAATAAATAAAAAACCTTTAAAAAAATGGGTTGAGGGACACCTGGGTGGCTCAGTAGGTTAAAGCCTCTGCCTTCGGCTTGGATCATGATCCCAGGGTCCTGTGATTGAGCCCTGCATCAGGCTCTCTGCTCAGCGGGGAGCCTGCTTCCCCTTCTCTCTCTGCCTGCCTCTCTGCCTACTTGTGATCTCTGTCTGTCAAATAAATAAATAAAAATCTTTATAAAAAAATGGATTGAGAAAGCGAATAGACATTTTTCCAAAGACGACACGCAAATGGCCAGCAGGCACATGAAAAGGTGCTCAGCATTACTCATCATCAGGGAAATAAATGCAAATCAAAACTACAATAAGATAACATTTCACGCCTGTCAGTATGGCTATCATCAAAAAGATAGGAGATAACAAGTGTTGGCAAGGATGTGGAGAGAAGGGAACGTGGCACACTGCTGGTGGGAAGGTAAATTGGTGCAGCCGCCATAGAAAACAATGTGGATGTTCCTTAAAAAAAAAAAAACAAAAAAAAAAAACGAAAAATAGAATTACTGTATGATCTAGCAATCCAATTGCTTGGACAAAGAAATATAAACCCAAAGGATATGAAAAGATATTGAAGAGATATCTGAATTCCCATGTTCACTGCAGCATTAGTCACAAAAGCCAAGATATAGAAACAACCTGTGTTCGTCAATGGACGAATGAATAAAGAACATGTTGGGTGTGTACACACACACAAGGAAATATTCAGCTAGGAGAAAGAAACTTCGGCCATTTGTGACAACACAGATGAACCATGAGGGTGTCATAGTAAGTGAAATAAACCAGAGAAAGACAAATATTGCATGGTATCACTTACATGTGGAATAATTAAAAAAAAAAGTGAAACTCAGAGTAGAAAAGTGGTTGCCAGGGACTGGGGAAAATAGGAACAAGTTGGTAAAAGGGTACAAGCTTTCAGCTAGAAGACAGATAGGGTCTGAGGGTCTAATGTAAAGCATGGTGACTACAGTGGATAACACTATATTGTGTAACTGCAAAGAAGAGAGAACAAATTTTTAACGAGCAAAGGACTTGACATTTCTCCAGCGGTGATACACAAATGGCCAATGAGCATATGAAAAACTGTTCCATGTCACTAATCATTAGCGGGGAGATAGCCCTTCACACCCATTAGGATGACTCCTATCAAAAAAAGAGAAATAAATGTTGGTGAGGATGTGGAGAAATGTGAACCCTTGAGCAGTGTTGGTAGGAATGTAAAAATGGTGCTGCGGATGTGGTAAACAGTATGGTGGTTCCTCAAAAGATAAAAAATGGAAAGACCATATGACCCGGCAATCCCACATCTGGATATATATCTGGAAGAACTAAAAGTAGGATCTTGGAGAGATATTTGTATAACCATGTTCATAGCAGTAGGAGTCACAATAGTCAAGAGGGGGAAGCCACCAAAGTTGGCCGTTGATGGATGAATAGATACACAAAATATGGTCTATACACCAAATGGAACATTTTTTAAAGATTTTATGTATGTATTTGAGAGACAGGAAAGAGAAAGAGAGGGAATATGAGCCAGGGGAGGGGCAGAGGGAGAGGGAGAAGCAGAGTCCCTCCTGAGCAGGGAGCCCAACATGGGGCTTGATCCCAGGACCCTGGGATCATGGCCTGAGCCAAAGGCAGATGAGTAACCAACTGAGCCACCCAGGTACCCCCATCCAGTGGAACATTACTCAGCCTGAAAAAGGAAGGGAAATTCTGACATCTTCTACAATATAGATGAACCCTGAGGACATTATGCTCAGTGAAGGAAGCCAGTCACAAGAGAAATACTGTATGATTCTATTTATATGAGGTATCTAGACTAGTCTAACAGAAACAGGAAAGAGAACGGTAGGGGCCAGAGACTGGGGCCAGGGAAAATGGGGAGTTGTTTAATATCTAGAAAGTTTCAGTTCTGCAAGATAAAAAGTTCCAGAGACTGACTGCACAATGATGTGAATATACACAACACTAGTCAACTATACATTTAGAAATGGTTAAGATGATAACTTTTATGTTCTGTGGAGGTTTTTTTAGTTATATTTTAATTTTATTTATTTATTTGACAGACAGAGATCACAAGTAGGCAGAGAGGCAGGCAGAGAGAGGGGGGAAAAGCAGGCTCCCTGCTAAGCAGAGAACCTGATGTGGGGCTGGATCCCAGGACCCTGAGATCATGACCTGAGCCAAAGGCAGAGGCTTAACCCACCAAGCCACCCAGGCACCCCTACAGTTACATTTTTTAAAGGGTGTGATAAAGCCCCTAAAAATAAACCCTATTAACACAAAAAGAAAATGGTCCAATCCGTTAGATTTTTGACTTAGAAAACTTGTAATAGCTGTGTAAACTTCCTAGGAAAATTACTTCACAACTTATCTCAGTTGTTAAGGATGTTCAATGAAGTAAGTTCTGTGGCACAGCTAAGTAATTTAGCAAGACGTTGAAGGTGTTGAAGAATTAGTTAAAATGTCTCCATTAGGGACACCTGGGTGGCTCAGTGGGTTAAGCCTCTGCCTTCGGCTCAGGTCATGATCTCAGGGTCCTGGGATCGAGCCCCGCATCAGGCCCTCTGCTCAGAAGGGAGCCTGCTTCCCTCTCTGTCTGCCTGCCTCTCTCTCTGCCTACTTGTGCTCTCTCTCTCTGTCAAATAAATACATAAAACCTTTTTTTAAAAAAATGTCTCCATTATCTTGAATGATCTTCAGGCTGGTGAACTTTCAGAAATGTTTAACATTCCCCAGTGCTGGTGAAATGTTGGAGTTTCCCTTATGATTAGAAATGATCAAAATGTCTTCCAGTTGTCCTTCTACCATGAGTACAAGGAAGCACAAATGCAACTTTTGAAAAATTACCTTTTGGCAAATGCACAGATGTTGTCTATGAGTGGACAATTCTTCAGTGCTGCTTCTACTTTTCCAAGAGATACATATTCTCCTGCTTGCAACTTCACCAGGTCTTTCTTACGATCTGTAAGATGAAAAATGAGGAATGTTAAGTCACCCACAGTCCATTCTGATTTTCTTTCACTCTCACTGCCTTCATCTTGACTGACAAAGAGAATTCTTCTAAAGTCTCCTAAAATCTTCTTATATATAATGCTTGCCCATGCACAACACTTAAAAAGAAAACACCCAGCTGAAGAAGTACTGGCTAAAATGTTAGACCCCATACAGAATGCTTCGGTATCTTACTATAATCTTAACCACCATAATCAAGTGAATAGAAGGAAAAGGATCTCAGCGCACTTGATTTGAATGGGTGGCTCAGCCCATTATAAGCCATGTGAGCCTGGGCACGTCAGCTGACCTCTCCAACTCTCAATTTGATCAGAGATATTGACACAAGCATGTAGCACAATGTCAGGCATAGGGAACACAATTAATTAATGTGAATTCCCTATTTCCCATATTTGACATCATCTTGTTAAAACGACAGGGCTCCTGGCATGGGATGGCATGGCTTGCATAATCATCCATTGCCTTACGACTTTCGTACGAGTGCTGGCTTGCCTACCTCTAGCCTAACCCACTCTACATGCCCATAGAAACTACCTTTGATCCCAGGGCAAATAAGGATCAAGGGGAAAAAAAAGGCAGGGCAGGGAAAGGGATTGGTTCGAGATTGAACCATGCTTACTGGGGATTTCCCCAGCAGATCTAACTTCTAGATGAAGAACCACTTTTCCTGGGAGATCTCTAACTATATTCAGGTCAGGCATGGGTCCAGGGACAGATTTAAATGGACCACTGGAGATACAACTGAGGAAATCTGATGGCTTGAAAAGGACTGGACTGGGACCCTACAGACTGGTCCTTGCCAGCTAGCTCGTTGAATTTTACTTTCAGGTTCTGCCTGCTTAAAGTGAATAGCATAAAGGCTCTCTTGGAGTTCAAAGTCTATCTCAGTTGGCTCAGTGAGGGCAGTGTCAAACCAACCGACATTCTCAGAAGAATGGACTGCTATTGAGGATTTATAATTTTCTAAGGTTCAAGGATAACTGGGGCTATATAAATAGCCACTAGGTAAAGTAATGTGTCCACACTGCTTCTCGAGTGGGGAGGTAAGTGGTGAGGGATTCTATTCTGTGGTGTTCTAGGTATTCTAGGTAGGGTATGTTACAGTAGATGGTTATACAGTGCCATGTGTAGTTGACCAAAAAAAAAAACCCCTCTGTTGTGCAATCTTTGTGTTCTTGCAAAATGAGAATACACTGACCTATAATCTGCAAACATCCGTCAGGATGAAATTCTCCAATATCACCAGTACAAAACCACCTTTGGCCATTTTCATCCACAGAATAATCCTCTGCAGTTTTCTCCTCATTCTTAAAATAGCCCATGGAGATATTCTGTCCACCAATTACAATTTCACCTCTGGGGTTCGGCTTGTCGTGAATTGTATAACCGCCTGGAAGTCATTAAATGAAATTAGTTACTGTTCTAACACAGAATGTACTTGCATTAATTCTTAAAACTCTTACACTGTTTCTGTGGATCAAATTTTCTGTCACGTCCGGTGAGAATATTAGTTTATATTTATTCACATGGATGTGAGGACCATGGGTAACTGTAATTTCAGAAGCAGTAAGGAAGGCTCGATGATAATCACCAGCCACCAACTATGCCAAACCTCCCCATTGTGAAAAAATTTTCACACTTCGAAATGGGCTTCATAGAGCTCTGTTAAGACAGAAGTACCCCCAGAAGGGTAACGCTTGAAGCTGTTATAAGTTACTAGTATGCGGTCATCAATGTATTTCAGATTGTTTCCCTAAAGACGTTTTATTTGCTTAATCTTATTTAAATTTGTGTTAGTAACATACAGAGCAGTATTGGTTTCAGGAGTAGAATTTAGTGTTTCATCACTTACACATACCCAGTGCCCATCACAAGTGCCCTCCTTAATCCCCATCCCCCATCTAGCCTCTCCCCCACCCACTTCCCTCCATTGATGCTGTTTGCTCTCTATCGTTAAGGGTCTCTTAGGGTTTGTTTCTTTCTCTCCTTTTTTTTTTTTTTAAAGATTTTGTTTTAGACAGAGAGAGAGAGAGAGAGAGAAAGAGTATGCACACATGCGCGCATGCATGAGTGGGAGGAGAGGCAGAGGGAGTAGCAGACTCCCCGCTGAGCAGGGAGCCAGATGCAAGGCTCCATCCCAGGACCCCAGGATCATGACCTGAGCTGAAGGCAGATGCATAACCGACTGAGCTACCCAGGCACCTCCCTCTCTCTCTCTCCCTTTCTCTTTCTCTCTCTCTCACGTGCGCACGTACGTGTACGTGCACTCACTCTTTTTTAAGGTTTTAATACAAGAGAGCAGGTAGAAAGAGGGAAAGGGAGGCTAGGAGAAAAAGGAGGGAAACTTTATTTTCTTAACTTTGCCTATGACCAGTCATGACTTTAAAAGTGAGAACACTGAAATAATTGACAATAACTCTAAAATATCTTACCACTACTCATTACCTGTTTATTACTGAATAAAACTTACTTGCTTACTTGAAGGGAAATATACAAAAATCTGAATTCATAATCTGAGATGTTGATTGGATTTTATGTCCTAAAACAATTAATGCTGCTCTTAAACATTTTAAACTAGTCGGTATTTGAATTGGACGAAACCCACTGTACATAAAACATTAAGATCATTCCTATTCTAGAGAGCAGAGTTTCCTTCACAGCAAGAAAAATTCCAAATACATTTGCACAAATGGACCCACTCCCCCAAATGAATATTAAGGCTCGATGCCAGAAAATCAGAAACAAAAATTAGAGGCAAAATTTGCCTTACCCAGTTGTAGCAATATACCTCGTTTCTCTGACTTCACTGCCTCATAAACAACCCATCGAATAAAAACAATTGTGATGCCGACGCTCAACAGAGAAATTGTCCTAAAAGGTAACTAACCGGTCCTTTAAATTTTCCGTCTACGGCTCCATCCCAAGGTGAATATTCCCTTTTAAAATTGTAATTTTCTAATTACTTTGCTTCATCTGGCAAAGCCAGGCTGCTAATTATTTTGCAGTTAATGCAGCTAAGGGGTTGTTGGGGTGTGTGTGTGTGTGTGTGATCAGTCACTCAATCCCCCAACAATCTGGGGTTTCATTTCCCAGCCCCAATCTCCTCACTAGCAAAGTTGAGCTTCAAAAGATGGGATATATCTCCTTCTCCAAACCTAGGGAATGGCCCACTAAGAATATTTTTCCTCTTTACCATCAAGTTTTCTCAAGTTCAGAATCACCACGCCTGTATTCTAGAGATTTTCTTTTCCTCTTCGGAACCTGACGATGTTACCAAGGAGAAAGCAAGCACTGGGAATGAACAGCAGAAAAGACTCACACAGCACCACAGACCACCTAACACTTTAAGGACTGGGCGTCTTGAGGCTCAAGGTGGTGTGCAGCATATCTAGAGCCAGTGGAGCTTGTCATAAAATTCTTACCTTCCTGCCAGTCTTTTAGCTTAATTTCACAGCAAATGAGAGGGGCTCCAACTCTGCCAGTAGTATAGTCAGTAACTACAAAGGAAAATGAAACAAAGATATTAGCATACCACATTTCAGACCCACGTGAGACCAGCAATACTGGAGTCCAAGCCAGAGTCTTACAGATGACAAAAGAGAGGCCATCGTGAGTGCAGTGCAAAGTGCAGTCAGTGTTTTGATATTTCAAGCTCATTTCAACAGTGCAATCAATTTCAGCTGCTGTTACATCATTTTTGCTTCTCACGGGCTATATTTCAGATAACGAAGTACAAAGCCCTCCGGTAAATGAGAGCTCGCTCCACCATTACCTACCTAGGATTACAGTAAGACAGATTTGGAGTGGAATTCCTTCTCTACCATTCACTGACTGGCTGTGCAACTTGACAAATTACTTAACCCCACTAAGCCTCCATTTCCTCATCTATTAAATGGGGAGAGTAAGAAAATCTACTTCTTAATAGGGATATATACTATAGGGATTAAATGAAATGATGTGTGGAAGGTGCTTAGTACTTCCTAGCACAAACTAAGTTTTCAATGAACGTTAGATGTTTTTACCAAACATGAGGATGACGATGATGACGATATTCTCCTTCTGTAAGCTGGAAGTCCTGCTATCCATAATCAATTATTTATAGATAGCCAGTAATGTACCTAGCATTATATTAAATACTGAAAAGAGAAAACACATAAAGGACCACATGTGTTATGTGCCCTCAGTGAGCTTACAAACAACCTACCTGAGCCAAAATGCACATGAAGCAATTTAGAGCACATTTAAATACTCAAGCGCACAGTCATGGAAGTGAGCACCACGGTTACCTCAGAGACTAGCAAGATCAGTGTAAAACTGGGAAAGACTTCATTGGGGAGTCGAGCATGAAAAGGCAGCCAAAGGGCATTCTAAGAGAAGGGAACAGAAGCTGCAGAGAGGTGAGAGCAAGAAGGCCCAGATGAGAAAGAGTAAGAAGACTGGCTGGTCTGGAGAGCAGAGCCAGGTACAAGGAGATGGGAGAAATCATGGAAAATGACAATGGCTACAATGGCGCCAGATCAAAGATGTCTGGAAAGCTCGGTTGGCCGGGAATGAAGCAGTGTTTGAGGTGGAGGCGTCTAACACAGGTACACACGATGAATCCAAAGTGCAATCATGGAGGCAGGCACAGCTGCGGAGAGGCTGTTGCGGCAGAGCATTGTGAAGTAATAAAAGGCGGGATGCCAAAGGCGACATGAAGGGAGGGACCAGTACGGTGAAGAAGTGGGAAGATCTGATCCGAGTTAAAGATATTTAATTAGATGACTTTAAAGTGAATGCTCTGAATGAATTTAAGGATGCTAAGACCACTGTCACAAACAATTTGTGAGGTGGCGAGATGGTCTGGGATGTTGGATATGATTCTGAACATAATAAACTTAAAGTGAAAGAGGGATGATCTCCCAAATATCACCATACCCAGTATTTCCCAATCCAAGATGATTTTGCCCCTCGGGGGATATTTGGTAATGTTTCCAGTTATTCCACTGCCATAACTGGGAGGAGTGAGTTACCCCTGCTATCCATCCATCCAGCCACTGAACAACTTACGACACACCAGACAACCCAAACAATAAAGAACTCTCTGGTTCAGGATTTCAGTAGTGCCAAAGTTGAGAAACCCTGCCATGGGATGATGGAAACGACAGAAGAGAAAACAAACAAGAAGTCAGGGCGGGAACATGCATTCAAGAGGGAGCATGAAAATGATACTTTATTCCAAGAGTGCAGTTCTCTGAGGAAGAAATCATTTGGAGAGAGAAGTTTAATGGCCCAGGGTGACAGAATTCTGAGGACTGACAAAATGGCATAAATATTTACAAGGCTTAAAAATAAAGGGCACACATGATAGTTCAATTAAAAGTTACTGAAAGTCTTCAGGTTTGCCCTGAACCTGATATCACGTAATGAGGTATAAAAATACCATAGTTCCTAAAGCTAATGCAAATGGGTTTTATCAGCACCAACTAACATCGAATTATTTGCCACGTTACCAACACTTACCTTCAGTAACTGTCCCAGCACCACACGATTCTGTGAGTCCGTAACCCTGACCCACTGGGCAGCAGAAGCAGACATTCATGAATCGGTGTGTCTGCGGCGACAGTGGTGCTCCGCCAGACAGCATCATACGGACATTCCCCCCCAGCAAAGCCTTTACCTTCTTAAACAGTAACCTTGAGAAAATGAAAAAGGAGGAGGGATCGTTTTAATGCATGCATATGTTATTCTTGGTGACATCCCAATTTATAAGCTCTGAGCAAGACCGCTCAACTTGGCTGGACACCTAAGTTTGAGAACCATGGTGGTAACATGAGAGGTTAACAAAGTGACAACCAGTAACACTTTGAAAAAAAAGTCAGAAAAATGCCAGATGGTAGTGACAACTGTGGTGAGCCCAGCATAACATCCAGAGAGGTTGAATCATTATGTGATATGCCTGAAACTAAGGGAACATTATGTGTCAACTGCACTTTAATTTTTAAAAATGCCAGAGAAACTCTTAAAAATGCAAAAAAAAGAATGCAGTGTTGGGAAATTGCTTTGACATACAGTAAATGAAAGAAAATGATGTCATTGAAGGAAATAAATTACAGCTCTCTTTAGAACATTTAGTTATCAACTTCTCTTTCTCTTAATGAAAAATGTTTCCCCATCTCCACTCTCCTAGCACTGCACTTTAAATAGCCGTTATAGTCATATACTTATTATACTGTTCTATGAAGACAATACATTGGAAACTTTATGCAGAATAAAATCTTGAGTATCACTTTTAGTTAGACACGACCTTTTTTAAACTCAAATATCTTTTTTTTTAATTTATTTGACAGATCACAAGTAGGCAGAGAGGCAGGCAGAGAGAGAGACAGGAGGAGGAGGCAGGCTCCCTGCTGAGCAGAGAGCCCGATGCGGGACTCGATCCCAGGACCCTGAGATCATGACCTGAGCCAAAGGCAGAGGCCTTAACCACTGAGCCACCCAGGCGCCCCTAAACTCAAATATCTTGATTTGAAAGTCTAGTTTTTCTTCACAAGACCAAATTTTATAATTGAATCTTAACTATTCACTCGATTATTAAAATCTATTAAATTGCCACAATCAGAGCTTGGGGTCCTATGTGTTGGCTGTGTAAGCAGTGAGGGTTAGAAATGAATAAAAGAGAAATGCAAACCTTATGATGACGGTGCTGATGCTCAAACTAACTTAACTTGCTAGTTACTTATTCAGCTTCCAGATGGAAACACACAAGATCTAAAGGCTCACACTATAGAGTCTATCAAATGTACTTACAGATTGCAAAGTGGTGCATCATATCCCTTTTTGATCTGTTCCAATTTGTAATCATACCCAATCTTGAACAGTGTTTTCTGAATATAATTCATCTCTTGGACTTTGCTCATAACATTCTTATAAATTCTATCCATGATTTCCTAAAAGGTAAGCACAATAACCAATAATCTGAAAAGAATTACACCAACACTGAGACACTCTTTAGTTGAAGATACCTTGTTTACAACATCTTAGGTAAAAGTCTTCACTATAATGGATATGTGTATTACATAATTAATTTCACTGAATTTACTTGTTCACTATTTCAAAAAGACTAGGGGTTTTTCAGTTCTATACACTAAGTTTACCTAAAATTTTTTTTAAATGTTAACTAACTAGAGTGTAAATAATTCATTCTCCTCCCACATAAAAAACCTTTTTTAAATCTTTTCTTTCACATATATTCATTTATTTTCAAAAAACACCAAAATACCATGTTGAATCTAATCCTGATGTTTTTCTCACTACTACCTTGTAACTGTTAGAGCATGGCAGAGAGATTTACAGAGCTTCTTAAGAGTTTACTCATACAGTTTTCTAAAGTTCTATGTCCCTATAATTTAGATATTTTGATTCCCTTTCAACAGAAGCTAAGACAACAAAAAAGAATAGGTTTCTTGCTCACAGCTCCTTGGAAAATTAAACGTAGAACTAGGTTTAGGATATAGGGATTCCCAAGATAGTATTTAAAAAAAATAAAACAGACAAGCAAAAAGGCCCAGACTATCACTAAATGTTTTCTTAAAATGACTTAACACAAATTAATAAGAATTGTTGCACAAAGCACATCTATTTGCAAATACCTGGTTAAATATTTGAAGTAGCAATCAGTATAAATTCAGTTGTGCTACCATGAATGACTTTAGGAATAGCTCCTCCCATATCAGAATAGAGCCATTCACAAATGAAGACAACAAAACCATCTCTTGCATTCTGCTACATGAAATAAGGCAGACGGAAAAAGACAAATACTGTATGATCTCACTTATACATGGAGCCAAACTCAGCAACAGAGAGTAGACTGGTGGTTGCCGGAAGTTACGGGGTGGGCGGAAATGGGGAGATGTTGGTCCAAGGGCTTACAAAATTACAGGTAGAAGATGAGTTACGTCCTGGGGATGTAACATACAGCACAGCACAGTGACCACAGCTAACAAGAATGTATTGTATATTCGAAAGCTGCTAGAAGAGTGGGTCTTCAATGTTCTCATTGCTCACAGACACATACACACACATACACACACGCGGTAACTATGTGAGGCGATGGGTGTGTTAAGTAATCATTTCACAATATCTGCATATATCAAATAATCACACTGTACACCCTGAACTAACATAATGCTATGTCAACTGTATCTCAGTAAAGCTGGCAGGGGTGCAGAGAGGCTACGTCAGCATTCAAGCATGGGACAGCGTCGTTCTGTCCATTTCCACAGATGGAAGCATTATTACAGAACTGAAATATTTGTCTAGATCTGTGATTGAGAAATTCCAAAACTTCCCTGGAAGGATTTTAATATCCTGTAACTGTCCCTCTGAAAAAAAGTGAATGGGATGTTGGGTGGGAAAAAAGCATATGGGAGTGAGACAGATGTGTGAGAAGCAGCCCCCCCGCCCCGCTCCTTCCAGTAGATACGAATCATCAGCACAGAAAGGCCTCAGTGAGGAAGGAACACAAACAGTACGGTTACAACAAGTTGGCAGGATTTATTGTTAGCCCATTAAGTCACCCTTTAGTTCAACCTAATAATTACATGATGTTCAACTGAGTCACTGCTTACAAGAAGCAGCGATTTATTCTAAATTCTGTGAATATACGATACTAAATGGATCTTTTGTTCTGACCCAGGAAAGAAATTAACTCAGATAATAGAATCTATCAGTTCTCAGCAAAAAAGATTTTTTTAAGGCCTATTTGTAGAGGAGTAGGAAGAACTAAGGGAACCAACAAAGTTGGGTGAAGCATCAATGGACCAGCAACATGGGGATTGTTTACTATCCCTAGGCCTGAAGAAGTAAGTGGAGAGAAGTATCATTGGAACTGGTAAGGACTATAGCCATGGGCAAGGCCTGGTTATGGCTAGTGGGAAAGAAGAGACTGTCCAATGGGCACCTGACCACTTCCCCAAATCACAGCCCAAGAGGAAAGGAGCAAAGTATGCAGAACACCCCTCCACCCCTCCCCATGCCTCCATGCCCCATGATCTCTCCTGAGTGCCAATAATTTCGCTGAAGCCAACCACAAATCAGAAGGCAAGCAAGCCCTGATAATTCATCCACAGAAGCGACCCTTTTAAGACACAAAGCAAAGAAGAATGGACGATGGGCAATTGGAAGATAAATAGCATATCAGCTAACTCCTGCTTATCTTCAGACCTAAATTCGGACATTACTTCCTATAGTCCTGGCCCTTTTCCTTCCCTTTGTTCTCTGATATGATTTACTAAGGATTCCTGTACTTTGGGTAATAAAGCCAAAATACTGTCTCCCAAAATGAAACAATCCTAAATAGATAAGCATAGTAGTTAAGTCGACTGACTCTGGGATCAATGTAGTTAAGATGACTCAGTTCACACTTGAACTTTAGCACCTGCGGGCTCTGTGACCTCAGGCAAGTTTTTTTCCTTTAAAAAAAAAACCGGAAAAACCGAACCCACCTATAGCACAGTGCCTGGAACACAGTAAGTACCTTGTGCTACCTATCACTAGTGTCACTTTCTTATGCTTTAGTGAGAAGATTCTTTCAGTTGGTAAACATGCTGAATCCCACAGCACCTCTAAATAAAAAGGCAAAGGCCACTCTGATCTATCCTTTTTGGTTATTTGGTAATTTTGTAATTAGAAGCTAAAAAAAAAAAGTAACTTCCATCTGTAATTCTTAGAAAACATGGGCCAAACACTTCATGATCTAATCTCTGACTTTCCGTGTGCAAAAAGAGTTCTGAGAAAGATACTGGGATAAGTCTTAAAATCTGATGATAATACAAGCAAGTCATGATACACAATCCCACTGCAGTTGCCAAGCCTGAAAGTACTAGAATATATTTCACTCTGTAAATTGGAAACACTGTGTTAAATATTTCAGAATTTATTATTAAAAGGTCAAAAAATGGGGCACCTGGGTAGCTCAGTCGGGTAAGTGTCTAACTTTGGCACAGATCATGATCCCAGGCTTCTGGGATCCTACCCCATATTGGGCTCCCTGCTCAGTGGGGAGTCTGCTTCTCCCTCTCCCTCTGCTCCTCCCCTCCCCCTACGCTTGCCGCTTGTGCTCTCTCTCCTCTCTAATAAATAAAATCTTTTTAAAAAAAGAAAGACCAAAAACTATAATGTCTTCCTTTTCATAAAAGACACTATTTCACATAAGGATTTTAAATATCTAGAAGAGCTTCACTTTGGAAGCTCTCTCCAGTGCCACTTTTCCTGGTCACCGTAAGGGTCGGGAGGCTCGGATTCAAGACTCAGTTTCCTAACCTTGGATAAGCTGCTTCAGTTCTCTGCGATGGCCTACATTCCCTCCGTTTTGTTTTGTTTTTGTTTTTTTAAATTGTGATGAAACAGAAATCATCTATAGGATAAACTTATACCTTTGAAACATGACTGATTCTCACATGAGGTGATCCGAACTCAGGTCATTTTCAGCCCCTAATTTTAAAGTATCAGCAACACTAGCAGGCATATATTTCAGAAGCTTGCCATCTCACCCCTCTCGATACTTATTGAAGCTTTTAATGAACACATCTGCCATCATTTCAACATAGTAAAATTAACATTTAAAACCGTACACAGGGGCGCCTGGGTGGCTCAGTGGGTTAAGCCTCTGCCTTCAGCTCAGGTCATGATCCTGGGGTCCTGGGATCGAGCCACGCATCGGGCTCTCTGCTCAGCGGGGAGCCTGCTTCCCTTCCTCTCTCTCTGCCTGCCTCTCTGCCTACTTGTGATCTCTCTTTCTCTGTCAAATAAATAAATAAAATCTTTTTAAAAAACTGTACACAAATCCCTAAGGGTATTACCTTTTTAAAAGTCCAAGTGCGAGCAGTAAAGAACATTTACATTCTGTACTCACCGGAACAGCTGCCATGAGTGTAGGCTTCAGTACAGTGCAATCCCCTTTGCTTCCTTTTTTAATTTTGCTGGACTATAGCAAAGACAAAGTAAATAGGATGAGGAAAACCAATCTTCACAAAAAAATGTTGTAATTCAAATATCAACGATGACAGTGACAGAAATTTACACATGGAATTCATCTACTGCCCTGGGAGTTATCAGAACTATCATAACCTACGAAAGTCTAAAGCATAAGTGCTTTATTGCTTTGGCCCATAGATTATTTCTTCTAGCATATTTCAGTCTTCTTTAGAGCAGAAACACTGATTCAGAATGAAGAAGAATGGGATATTTTGGTAAATTGAGCATTATTATTTATGACATAATGACCATAACAAAAATCATCCATTAGGGGCAGGAAAAAAAAAGGAAAAACAGAAGCCCTCCACTGAGGTAGGTGGGGCACTAAAACAAAATTGAGGATACTTTTAACTTTCTTGGATGAGCCAAATGGTAAAGCCACCTCTCAAAGTCACTGCTGTCAATTAACATCATACCAAAATACTCAAAATTTGATAACATTTTGGTTGACAGGATACTGAAGACGCTGCCAGTGACCATGGGAGATTTGCACATACATATGTCAATGTGTATGTACTACTTCTTTCTTTTGTTTTCCTTTCTTTTACTTCTTATACACATAAATACTGTTTGGGATTTCAAATGTCAGATCAGTAGGTAGAAACAATGATAAAGGAGCCCACTGAAAAAGGGAGATGAAAATAGAAATCTGTTAGGGTGCCTGAGAGGCTCCATTGGTTAAACGTCTGACTCCTGATTTCAGCTCAGGTTATGATCTTGGAGTTGTGAGGTCGAGCCCCATATCAGACTCATGTGCAGGGTGTGGAGCCTGCTTCAGATTCTCTCTCTCGTCTTCCCCCTCTGCTCCCCCCTCTCTAAAAAAAATAAATAAAATTTAAAAATAAAAAGTGAAAATAAGAATCTGCTATAATGCAGTTCGCTAGTCTGTAAGCTTAGATGTAGGCTGTGTTAGTTGTGCTGCCACAGGCGGGAAGAAAACCAGCTCTTAAGAAAAAGTGTGATATTCCAGGTAGCACCAGCCTTGTCACACAGAAGGTTCTGCTGGAAGAACTCAATTGCCTTTATCCTACTTTTCTTTAAGATGGATAAAGGAAGGGGCGGGGGGTGGGGGGTTGGGGGAACAAGGTGGTGGGTATTAGGGAGGGCACGTATTGCATGGAGCACTGGGTGTGGTGGAAAAACAATGAATACTGTTACGCTGAAAAGAAATTAAAAAATGTTTTTTCTAACAAAAAAAAGTCTTATATTAAACTGAAAACAAACAAACAAAAAGATCGATAAAGGAAATAAAATAACTACTTGTTGTTTTGTGTATGTGCAAGCATGTGCACTTTTGCAAGTGGGAACCTATCTATCCCCACACAGGCATACCACACACAGGGTGGGGGGAGGCGCTGCTCTATAGGGAGAAAGATGGGTTCTTAAGTCCTTTGAGAGAGAGTTGCCCTCTGTGTGGTGCTGACCACTTGTTGTTCTAGAGAGCCATTCCACAGTAGACGCAGCCTAAAAAGCCCTTCCTCACTTTATTACTCTCAGTAATGACATCAGTTCTCTTGTCTTATTACGATTGCAGGAACCCTAGTTAGAACATCACAGTGATCTCTGGCTTCATATGTGGTGCCTCTCATCTCTCCACTTTTTCTGATTCCAGACATGAGAGAGATTCCTGGGTCTTAGATGCCTGGTAAAATTTGAGACTCTTTCTTATAAAGGTCATTAAAAAGGTAGGTGGGGCATTCACTCCATTGGCCCCCTTCCCTACATGGATGCGACTGTTTTCAGAAAGGCAGTGAAAACAAGGGCTGCTAGTCCCTGGCTTCTGAACTTTCCCAGGGGTGGGGGGGAATCACACTCAAAGCCTATTGAAATGTTTTTCACATTAAAAAACCACACTACAGTGCACTGACACATAATCATCACAGATCTCCCTTTCTCCCTTCTTTCCTTCCTTCCTTTCTTCCTCCCTCCCTCCCTCCCTCCCCTTCCTTCCTTCCTTTACCATTACAAAGCTTTCTAAAAAATCTGTTTTACAATTCAAGCCCCAGTGTTAGTCACAGGTCTATTTTAACTTGACTACATCAGGTGCCATTTACTAGCAGGTATTGGTTGTGTAATTTCAAGTGGGCTTAAAGTACATGAGTTCGCTCTACACACTACTGGCCTTGCTACTTGTGAACACCAGGGAGAAGGGAGATCCTGGACCCAGGGCACAAAGCTGAGGCCTGTCTTTGGAGAGGCAACAGAACTTGCCACGATGATGGAAATGTTTGGTACCTGTGCTGTCCAGCGGGGTAGCCACTAATGACATGCAGCTACTGAGACCTTGAAATGTGGCTACAGCAATTGAGAAATGAGATTTTTCTCATCTAATTTTAATTCTTCCTACTTCAGTGTGTGGCTAGGGACTACTGCAGTCGACAGCACAGTGCTAGAGAAAACCCGGAGTAAAACCAGGCCCCAATCCCACCACCACATCTCTGCCCCAAAACCCACCACTGTTGATGGATAATGCACCCAAAAGGCCCAGAGCCTTTATATTCTCTATCCTAGCTCTCCAAAATCAAAATCTAATAAAGACAAGATGAACTGTGAGTTTCAAAATCGTTTAAAAAAAAAGATGCAGATAAAGCAATGCTAACAAATCCACAAGATTCTTTTCTACGCCTACATATCTGCTCATGGGAGCTATTTTTGAACTCAAGGAGAAAGCTTTCACAGAATTAAAATATCTCAAGTTTCCGCAATATGTTGTCAGCCAAACAATGCAACTTAATCTGATCACGCCGATATAGTGAAAAGCTTGTCACCTGGTCAGAAAGTGTAAGTGGAGAAGAATACCCAATCCTACAGCCATAGGTAAAGCAAGATATCTCTGCGGTCAATTCTAGTACGTGAGCCAGAGGCAAGTAGCCAATGTACGTGTCCTTTGGTCTAAAACAAAATGAGAGAAACATTTTAGCCATTCTTAAAAAGGTGTGGTAATTAGGAACATCAAGAGTCTTGTCATTTTAATATAGACTGGGCTCAGGGAAGGCCAAACACGAACTCTGACTTCTAAGGAGAAAGTGGAATAATTCTCTTACCCCAGTCCAGGAATTCGCTCACACTGGCCAGTCATGCCAGCGATCAGATTGCTATGGTGCATCATCACTCCCTTGGGACGGCCAGTAGAGCCGCTGGTATACATGACAATGGCCATGTCCGAAGGGGTCGGTCTGTTCGGAGCTACGCTCACTAAATAAACGAAAAAGCACCACATTTTCTTCAGTTTAAAAGTTAAACTGCTAAACAAAGATGAAGATTTTTAGGTTTCTGCATCATGATAACCTGTGTAAAACAAAACTCTCTACTGATACGCAACAGAAAAATGGTGATCGAATTCTGGTGACCTGCAGTGAAAATTTCAAACTTGATTTGGCCCATTTTCTGGATACTCAGCCTAATCCCGGTCTACACCTGCCTACCAGCAGTGTTATGGAAAGCTATCCAGGACTTTGAAGAATTGGGAGAATAGAGTATTGTGCACAAGCGCCTCAGGTCTCAGTCTTCCCATCTTTAAAATGAGACAGTTGGACCTGATTGTGGTTCTTAACCACTGGTGGGCATGAGAATCACAAAATACCATCTCTATCTCTGGTCCCTAGCTTGGAACATTCTGTGTCTGGGATGGAGCAAAGGCTCGACAGGTGACACTTATACACGCCCCTAATTGGAAACCACTGGACTTGATCTTTCTTTTTTTTTTTAACTTTTTCTAAAAATAATTTTATTTTTCAATAACTAAACCGTGGGCACTGAATTACATAACCATAATACATTTAACAGGTGATTTTAAGATCAGATTCCAAGTGGCAAGTAAAATCCAAAGAACACCAAACCAAAATTACCTTTTCCACTGTTTTTATCATTCCTTCTTGAAATCTGTATAGGAAATCATTTTTTCAAAGTACTGAATGTGCAGTTAGATAAAAATAATGGTGTAAGAGGTCCTTTCTCTCTGACTCACTTGCTCACTCTCTCCTGTAGTCAGAACACTTGTCATGTGTCTGGCTTCAGGACTCCTTTAGGCCTTCCAGATTTAGTGCTTCTTGCCCTGCCTGGATTGGATCATACTTTGACTCTGTGTAATTGAAATTAGGCAGGAATTTCCAGACACCGAGAGAGAGAGACCACGTGGAAGGGTTTATAACAACTCCATTCCCTACCAAAGGTAATATCTACATAGTATCTAAACTTCTCGTCTTCTAGCCCTCTGTCTGAAGGCAGGGCTGTTTAATCATCTTAAAGGTCTTGAGCTCCAGTGCTATCTTTGCTTACTGAATGACTGAGAGAGGAGAATAGAGAGGTGCTCCCCACTGATTAGCTTCAGCTATCTTGAGCAGGGGGTCAGCAGACTTTTTTTTGCAAAGGACCAGACAGCAAATAGTTCAGGCTCTGAGGGCCATACAGTCTCTGCCAAAACTATCCAGACATAGATGCTTGTTAAACAATTGGAATGGTGTTCTAGTACCAGTTTATTAACAGAAACGGAGAGCAGGCTGTAATTTACCAACCTCTGTGCTATAGTCATGCTTCTCAAACTATGTGTGGTAAGGACTTTTTCTCCCCCCCCCCCAATAATTTGTGGATGGATGCTTTCAGAAAATACAATAAAAATGCATTCTTGGAAAAATGAAATAAAAAAGACACAACACACGAACTGAAAAAGCTTAGATTACACAGACAACAAATTACATTTCAATAAGTACAATTAGAGCAGTCATACACAGGGAAAGCGAATTAGAAAAACTGTAAATATTGTTACTTGAAAGTATCTTTGAGCCTACCAATAAAGAGAATTGCTATTACCGTTATTACTTTTTTGTCATTCCACAATACTAACAAACAGTTGAGTGAAATCGAAATTCCCCCTTTATTAAGTGCCTAGATACACACTCCAAGCAAATGTTGTATATGTCAGTATTTTAAAACTAACACGACAGAATTTGTTTCTTGTTGTTAATTTACCTACTCTAGACTGACAAGTGTTACACAGAAGATATTATGTTTACCTAAACTGTTCCTATGTTGTTTTTTTTTAATAGCTCTGCTGAGGTATAATTGATACACAAAGAATTACACGTATTTAATATACACAATTTGGTGATCTGAACATATGCAAATGCCTGTGATACCATCACTATGATCACAGACCTCTCTCCATCACCTGCCTCCGTTTCCTTGTGTTCCATTGCTGCTGCTGTTGTTGCCTTCATCTGTCAGGCGACTTCAACTCTACATGCTCATTTGAAACAGCATACTGAGGCCTCCACTTTCAAGGTGGGGTATTGTGGCAACCTAGTAACCTCCTTACCATTCCAGAATACACCAAAATGGCCAAGAATCCACAGATCTTTTATCAGAATTAAATAAATGTTCTACAAGATGAGTGGCTTTTTATTTATTTTTTTAAGAGAGAGAAAGCAAGCTCTCTCTAGTGTCTCTCTTTTTTTTTCTGAAAGATTTTATTTATTCATTTGACAGACAGAGATCACAAGTAGGCATAGAGGCAGTCCGAGAGAGGAAGGGAAGCAGGCTCCCCGCTGAGCAGAGAGTCCGATGCGGGGCTCAATCCCAGGACCCTGGGATCATGACCCGAGCCGAAGGCAGAGGCTTTAACCCACTGAGCCACCCAGGCACCCCGATGGGTGGCTTTTTAGAAATTACTTTATATCCTTTCTGGTCCTATAATGGTGCCACTAGGACAGGGAGACTGGAGCGGTGGTACTGTAAAGGCGATGTCATGATTATACATGTGTCTAAACTCGCAGAACGTCCAACACCAGAGTCAACCCTAGTATAAACTATGGGCTTTGGGTAATAAGGATGTGTCAGAGTAGATCCATCCATTGCAACAAACGTACCACTCGGGCGGGGGATGTTGGTAAACAGAGGAGCCTATGCTTTGTAGGGGCAGGGAGTGTATGGGAAATCTCTGCACCTTCTGCCCAATTTTGCTATGAACCTAAAACTCTACAAAATAAACTTTGTTTTTTAAAAATCAGTTTAGAAAAATGAATTCTACTTTTACATACCAGTTAAAATAAAAAATTTAAGCAGTGCGATTTACCACTGAAATAACCAAAGATAAAGTTATCCTTCAACTGGGTCATGCTAATGCTCCTTAAAGAGATCTACTGTCGGGGTGCCTAGCTGGCTCAGTTGGAAGAGTATGCGACTCTTGATCTCAGGGTCATGAGCTCGAGTCCCATGTTGTGCACAGAGGTGACTTAAATAAATACAACTTAAAAAAAATCTACTGTCAATTTATAGAATCAAGCAAATAAGAACTGCATTCTTTCTCTGATGACTAAGGGAAGCAGCAGCAGTAGACATGTTAAGCTCTTCTCAGTCTAAGAACACGACGTGATGCTTCACTTCTTGTTATCATAACAACTATTAACTAAGGTAAAAAAAATACATGAGTCTCATTACTGTAGAGATAAGTGGCACTAGGTGGGATATGTGGTCTATCAAGTTACCACTGACACAAAATTATGAAGATTAATACCCCTACAGTCTTGTATCAAAATCATCTGGTGAATCAACAGCATTGGCAACAGATCCCTGCCGCTAAGGACCTCCCAGATGACCTCAATCTTGCAGTGTCAGTCTGGTGTTGAGAGACAATTCTCCACGGGTCTCTTGAGTTTCTGCATGTCTCGTGAACAGAGGCAGTGACTGGGTTCTAGACCATCTTTTCAAGGATGTTTGTGCAATAAACCACCTTGGAAGATAGAGATAGCATCTACCTCCAGAGCAAAAGAGTAGATGTGCTTCCTGTCCAGTACAGTAAAAATAATCTCTCTCTCACCAGAGCAGTCCTACTACCCTCTATAAAAGCTCTGGGCTCCCTAATCTCATGGTTGCTCTCCTGTAACACGACTCACTGCGGGTGCAGGCAGCATCCCAACCCTCTTCACACTGCCCTGTGAAAATGGGAATGTGGGGAAGCAAAATGAATGCTGACATTCATTTTGGCTGCTTTGGCTGAGAGTAAAAAACTGTCCTTCATCTCTGACCCAGGGATTTCGGACCTCCAGGAAGCTGCGGCTGGCTCACTTGTTTGCTTGAAAGGGGGGCGAAATCTCAGCCTCCATGCCATTCTCCATACTGGGTAAAGGGCTATACAGTCTCTCTTTTTCATTGCAAATGTGTTCGGTACCTAATGGTCAAATACTCAGAAGCTAAAGAGGGGTTCAACCAATGTTTTCTCCTATCAAAATTAGTCCTTTTCTCATCTAAGTAGACTTTCGTGATCTTCACATTAAACATGAAGAAAGAAACTACTTAAATGGAGTCTGTAATTTCCTCAACCCTCTGTCCTGCTGACCAGCTGACACTCTGCCATAAGGTGCATCTGCTGGTTTCAAATGAAATACCAAATACCACCTCAGTGGGAGAATAAATCTGACCATGAGCTTGGCCAACAGCTTTTTGCATCCTCTAAAACATCAATAAAATCACTAGCATTAAGCATTTAAAAAAAGTTACTGGGGGCACCTGGGTGGCTCAGTGGGTTAAGCCTCTGCGGTCAGCTCAGGTCATGATCTCGGGGTCCTGGGATCGAGTCCCACATCGGGCTCTCTGCTCGGTGGGGAGCCTGCTTCCTCCTCTCTCTCTCTCTCTCTCTCTCTCTCTGCTTGCCTCTCTGCCTACTTGTGATCTCTCTCTGTCAAATAAATAAAATCTTAAAAAAAAAAAGTTACTGAATGGAAGTCCTTAGATCTTTTCTTTACGTGAGCTCCAGGCTGGAAAATTACAGTGAGTCACTTGAAAAAGAAGTTCAGACTTCCCTAAGTCTGAACCACTGAATACATTAACTATTTGGTAGATTTTTAAAAAATGGTTACCTTTGAGGAGAAAAGGAGAGTAAACTTTAATCATATATGTTCCTGATAGTTTAAACATTTAAAAAAATTTTTTTTAAATCCAAGAAGTTTATGGTTTTCACTTGCATTACTTCTTTTCCTAACCTACCGAAATAAACCTTAAATAGATGAATAAATTTTGTTTTCACTGCTTTACTTACCATTTTCTGGCTTGGATCCCAATTCTTCTACTGATTGCATGCTGTGAATCTCAAATCCTTCAGGGTATTCTGCTTTATTGATAGTCTTATTGTCCACATAAATGATGTGTTTAACACAACTGATGTCTGACAATGCAGTCTGTTGAGCAGAAAAAAAATCCAGCTGTTACATGTAGGCCTGTAATATACTCAATTATTGGACATTTTCCTGTCAGAGAACACTACCATGAAGTCAAAGAAGAATTCTTATTTACCTTAAGTTTGCTTTCCAGAAGTTCAACGCTAGTGATCAGGTAGGTCGCCTCAGATTCATTCAACCCATGAACTACAGCTTCTTTGCCAAGTGTGGCATATAAAGTCACAACTACATAATAAAAAATAAACACATATGTTAAATGATAAACATTTATGAGATAATATTATTTAAATCGGCCTTTTGTGATGGGTACACTCATGGATGCAAAGACATTTTATAATGTCATTTGATTTCATGTTCTCTGCTATCACCTTCAAACGTTGCCTGAAACTTCCCAATAGCCCCAATTTGTCCTTACAGAGTCTCAGGATTCCAACCTCCTAAACCTGAAGAAACCTAGGCATACTGGAAGCGTGCAACTGTTAAAAAATTAGTCAATCAAGATTCTCAAGGCCAGTAAGTTTCTGGCTGAACTCTTAATTTAGGTCAGAGCTAGCCCACCTAGAACTACCCTGTGCCATGCTCTTTCATTGGGCATAGCACCAAAGAATGAGTAAGTCCTTGAGAATCTTCAGATTGAGGATTTCAAGGTGGAATCATGTCCCCACTCCTAGGGAGTGTTTTTAGTGGGCCTAATATCCAAGCTCAATACTGGTGACCTCCAAGCCTTAACTGGGTGGGCCAACGAGATCTACTCTTTAGGGGCTGCCAGACAAAGGAAACATAAGCTGAAACCAAGATGAGTTAGAATCAAGGGGTGTCTGTTAAACTTCAGACTGGAAACTCAGCTCTAGGCTAGCAACCAAAACAGCAACATGGTTAGGAAGAGTGACTTTTCACAAGCTGTTGATTGCTGAAGGTGGGTGATGGGTATATAGGGGGTCATTTCATATTCATTTTGTTTGTTTGAGATACAAACTCTTGATCACTACACTGCACTTGTAGTGTTCTTCATTCAGTAAACAACTGAGTGCCTAGCATGTGGTAGGCACTGTTCTGGACCTTGAATTTTCAAAAACAGTGTCATGCACAACAGCAAAAACAAATGCTTATGAATCAGGAATACACCCTGTACTTTACTTTCTGGCCAATGTAGCTACTGTCAGTTCAAGTTGTTATGTGCTCATTTCACATGTAAAATGGAATAGGTCAAAGAAGAGGCCTTGAAGTAAAGCAATGAACTAGAACGATCCTAAGCAATGATTTTCTTTTGTTGTTTTAGTCATTATCCTGTATGTCATGCCTTAAAAAACACTCCCAAACCTTTCATATATAATTCACTTCCAAATGAAAAGCAAAACTAAACTCTATTAAGCCGCCAATTCCCATACTGGCTATTAGAAATTACTCTCTTTAACAGAAATTATCAGACAGCTTTTACCAACAGTACATAGCGTTTTATGGATAGAACTTATGCAGAAAAATTGCTAAAGAACACAACAGCATCACAGAACAATTTCATATGTTACTAAAACCCCTTCTCTCCCCCCTCCAAAAACATAAGGCACTTACGAGGGAAGTTGTACTTAAAGCAGGTCTGGGCCGCAATCATCCATTCGGCCCTGGTCTCGCAGAAAATGGCAATAGTGTTCTTTGGTTTCAGTCCCAGGGCAGTGAGTCCGCTACCAAAATTATTCACTCTGCAGTTCACTTCAATATAGCTCATCCATTTATAGTTCCCAAGAATTAACTGTTAAAGGAAGACATTCTCTAATATGAGTATGTTTATTTCAACAAGCAGTCAAAATACTATTCAAAGAATAGAACTCTAAAACTGCCTTTAAGTGAATATGCAGAAGCTGTGAGCACCCTCTGGGAATTGGTTACACAGTGTATTTAAGTGGAATGGCAGCATATTCTAAACGATCAACTGATGCATACCTTCCCCTTAAAAAAAAAATTAAAAAGTGCAAGAATGCTGTACCTTCTTAAAAACCTTTCCATTAGGCTGCATTTCGTTTTCTTCACTTAGGATTTCTCTGGTCCCAAGGCTGTCCTTCTTCCCAAACTTGGACACGGCGTGATCGAATAACTTATCCAGAGTGTCGGCTCCAGGGATGTCTATAACAGCTAGCGAGTCGAAGTGCGTGACAGAGCGATATGGACTTCCAGGTTTGTCTGAAGTGGGCTTAGCTTTTATTCTCTTTGCCATAGCGTTTTTCTTCTTGGCGTTGGTAAGAAAATACCATGGAATAAATATAAGGGCACTGTATATTGTTATTAACAAGTGGACAGGCAGCAAAATAATGGTGAGCACGTTTAGCCTAAGTTTCATAGTGGCAAGGCTTCTACAGTGGTGTTTGTGTCTTGTTATTCTTTGGCTGCAGAAAGCCTTATTTTGCTGAAGAAGGCAATAATGGAAGCAGCAGTGAGAGTAGCAGTATAGCCAAGGCAGTTCAATTTTAATGCTACAGATAGAAGTTAGTAATCTTTGGAAGCCGACAATAAGGTACACCTGTAGGTGAGGACAATGAACCAGGCAGAGAGCAGGATAAAGGAAAAAAAAGAAAAAACAAGAGTATTAGCAAGTTGATAGCAACACTGATTTAAATACTCAGGTCTTCAGTAGTTTATGTAATTGATCTGATACAGAAAGTTGAAATAACTGGTCTGAAAGACTGGCATTTTTCAGTTCCAAGCATTGCCATAAACTTCTGAATTTAATGTTGAGGGATGCTACTTTAATGCTTACACGAACGTACGGATGGGATACTGAAGTCTGGTTGAATTTGGGGAATGCCAATAGTGAGATTTCCCTTAAGCATGTAGATGTAAAACGGGTAGTTTTAAACAGGATTCGGTTTTATATGCAAAATGGGAGAAATCCACTAATGTAGGTTTATTTCTCAATGACCAACCCGGAAATACTATTTCTGAGGTAACGCTGTTCACGATCTCCTGGCCCCCAAACTGTTGAGCAATAGAATTACAAAGTCATTTCCTAAGTGCTCTTTTGTGCTCAAAATTGCACCCCAGTGCCTGGGAATAGTCATAGCAGATCCAAACTGGTATCAGTCCAGTCCTGGCCTTTGTCCATGACCAGTTAACACTTATGAGGAAGTCGGCACACAAGTCAGATCCAGTGTCTTTCAAGCTTCTTTCCGGAGTGGGGGGAGCAGCTAAACAGCTTCTTCAAATAAAAAGTCACGCAGACTTTCCACATATGCAACTAAAGTGGAACTGCTCTGGCTGAATTGGGGGCGGGGTACTGGGGGTGTCCAGAGCACCCACACTGGACTTCCCGGAACCCCACTCCCAAAGTGACCGCCACTGAAGCATTTCCAGTGAAAAGCCTGTGGAAAAAGCTAAGTGCTCTGGTGTGCGGTGCAAGCAATAAATGCAAGAAGGCGTCCAGGGGAAGTGTGAAATAGCCACCAGTAGGTAAGGGAGGCTCTGTGGACATGGGACTTAAACTGGACCTGGCAAAGGAGGAAAAGACTGGAGAGCATTCGGGCAGGGAAGCCACATGAAGATACACAGAGATAGGGGTGAAAGGGCCTTGGGGGAGTAGGAAGTGCCAATAACAAGGACACTAGCCTAACTGGGGCACAGAATGCATGCACGTGGGCTAAAGAGGCTATGGGTAGTACAGGGTCTGATAGATCAGACAAAGTCATTTTGATTTGATTAGGCACAAAACCGGGGGCCATGGCAGGTCAGGAAAATAGTGCCAGTTAGAAAGGAAGTGCAGCAACAGCCTCGGGGACAGTACTAACTCACAGGGAGCTGGCCTGCCTTCAGCTGAGAAAGCTGTTTTGGAGAGTGGTGGCATATTTCAACTATAAAAATTAATAGTTCACTTGGTGGAGACAAATTGAAGCCCATCCTTTGGCAACTCCTGTGACAAGAGAGGGACTATCAATCCCAGGACAGCTGTGTCTTTTTACACCAGTTACCATAAAGAGGTAGTTTAATCCTGCCTCAGTTTTTGTTTATGCCCTTCAACTGAGTGGGGTAAAGTGAGCAAGAAACTACAAGTGGAAAGACCTGGGTTTTGGTTCCCATCTTGGTCACTAACTGGCTGGGTAAGCTTGAGCCAGACAACAGATCTAAGCTTAGTATCAGACTAGATCAGTAACCCTTAACTTCTTGAGGCGATGGACCCCTTTTAGAATCCAATGAGAACTATAAACCCAAGCTATACAAAATGGTATCTATAAATTTAGGGGGTCTGTGGTTTCCCGGAAATCTATCCACAAAACTCTAAGGGTGACACCAACACTGAAGTAAGAACTGCTGGCCTAGATGATTTCCTGGGATCCTTCCAAATTTAAGTTTTGTGATTTACCCTACCTAGAAATTGCTTCCTTGGTCTGACAAGGCTGGTCATTCACTTCTTCCTCTAACTTCCTACATCACTTGAAATGTCTAACACTCATTTTGATCCTTGATTATATTACCAATATTACCAAACATCTAAGCACCTAAGTATATAAGCAGAGACCAGTATGTAGTTCTCAACCCTATCAAACCAAACACCTTTTTCTTAGAACGAATATCCTGTAATAATATTCTTCTATCAATCTTAAAGGATAGTCACAGATGATAACCTACTTATGTGCATAATTTAAAAAAACAATTCCTGCTGGTAAGAGAAAGGAATACCAAAAGGAAATCAACTCAAGACAATATAATATTTATTTCAATATATAAATTCTCAGAGACAATACCAGAAGATCAAAAAAAAAGTCTAGCCTTCAACTGAAAAATTGTCAGACTTGGGGCTGAAGATCTATAAAGAAGACAGCTTTTGAAGGGTTTATAATCTAACTGGATTAACTGTACTATATATTTTTAGTCATTCATGTTATATACACTTAATCTTTTATACATATTTGCCTTAAGCTTCAGAGGTAGGGACATGTCTTCTACTTAATCCTCATAGAAACACACACACACACACACACACACACACAACACAACACACACAGAGTAGGCACACCTAGAAGAACATTTAGATGAGGAGAGATTGGAGACATCATTTATTCCAGTCATTCTGAAATTCTTTCTGGTGGTGGCGAGGGGGACATGGGTCATCCATTTGAATAAAATCTTACATGAACATGGGAAATACAAATATGTATAGATAAAAGCCAAAAGCAGAGCTGTTTTGGTGGGAGAGGCCTGAGAGCCCCTGCCTGGACTTCTTGGAACCCCCCAGTTCAGCTGAATGACCCACTGTTGTTGGTGAATAAGTAGCCAAGTGCACATCGAAACCAACCCCCAGCCCCCAGTCCGGTGCTCTTTCAAGCCCACTGGCCAGCCTCTGCCCAGTTTTGCCTGTCATCTTAAAATTTTTCCTTGCCAAAGATTTTCTAGGGTTACACTCACATCTATTGATAAATTCATTTCAAAAAGAGAAAGAGGAGAGAACACCTACCATGTGCAAGTTTTGAGCACTGGGTACAAAGATGAGTAAAGGATGCACTCAGTCTTTTAAATGCATTTACATATGTGTTCATATGTATGATAGATGGCAGGGAAATGAGTTCACAAACATGTAGAATATATCCCATAAGAGGGGTACCTGTCTGGCTCAGCTGGAAGAGCATGTGACTCTTGGTCTCAGGGTCCTGAGTTCGAGCCCCATGTTGGGTGTAGAGATTACTAATTTGGCAAGGGAGGAAAGATGGTTGAAGTAGGAAGTAGAACCATCTGGAAAGGTTTCACAGAAAAAGAGCAGTGGAGGTAGACAAGAAGGATGGCGTGTTTTCAAAAGACGAATAAAACAACTGGAAAAAGAGGACAGTCCTAACAGAGAAAACAAATGGATGGGCGAACGGATGGAGGCAGAAAAGGGCAGGATGGCGGAGAAACAGCCGTAGTGTAGCAGAAGCTTTAATGCCTTCCACGTGAGGAGCTACTCCACTTGAGGGATTGAAGTCAATGGGAAAATTGAATTTTTTGGGACCCAATTTTACGAGCATGCAGCTGTACCCTAAGAGACACACGTGTCTGACGAGTCAGCAACTCAAGATTCAACGCCTGCCTATTGTACTAAGGGGAAATGAACTATTCTCTAACCTCACATGTGCTGATAAGCGGGACTCTGAACAAGTTTACCGACCTCTCACTGAAGAGCTCGGGGCCGGTGGCATCACACAGCAAACAGGATGCTACTTCGTGGCACCATTGGCAGAATTCCTCCCCATAGCCAGCTTACAGTCCACGGACACCAATCATCAGTGCTCGGAACACAGTCTTGCCCCCCTTTCACTTTGTTGTACTTTTTGGGGAAACTTCAACCCGGTTAAATCTAATTCTCCACTGAAGTCTGCCCCTGTACCCATGCAGCTGAATTTGGCTGGAGAAAAACTGGACTGTGCTGAATGCCCCCTGCCCTACCATGACGGCTTCTTCCAGCAGGCCCTCCATGCCGCGCAGGAACTACACTGCACCAGACTGCTCCATTCACTGGCCTGCTCTCCTGGGTTTCCTGTCTGCTCCTCGCACTTCTGACCGTCGACATCTGCTCTGCCTCCGTCACTCCCGCCACTGTACCTACCCGCCTTCTCGCACCTTTAGCCACGTGCTCTTCCCTCTCCTGTGACTCTGCCCGTGGACCAGTGCTGCGCCCGGCTGGCGCTGACCCCTGCCCAGGGGCTCCCGGGACCATGTCCGCCTGGGCCCTGCCTCTAGCTGGGGGTGCCCGTGCCCTGCTCCACAGAATCATGCCCATTAGCATCACAACAGGGCTATTCTTTCTCTCACCTTAAAAACCATAGTGCATGGAGCCCTGGATGTGGTGCATAATCAATGAATCTTGGAGCACTGAAAAAATAAAATTAAATTTAAAAAAAAACACCATTGCCTCTCTTGGATGTTCTCTGGCCACAGCCCCATTTCTTCACATCCTCATCAGGACTTGAGAGTCACCTGCACTCTTCCTCTCCCCGCTCTCTCTCCCTAGCTCCTCTTGAGCCTACTACTCAGGCTTTTACCCCCTACCACTCCACAAATTGCTCTGATCAAGGACCCCTGAGCACCTCCACATCTTCACATCCCAAGGTCAGTTAAGGCTCCCTCATCTCTCTTGACTCATCAGCAGCCTTGGACAAGGCAAACCCCTCCGTTCCTGGGATTGAAACCTTCACTTGGCTTCCAGGAGACCACACTTCCAGTTTTCTTCTGACTTCTCTAGCTGTTCCTCCTCAGTCTCCTTTGCTGCTTCTTCCTTATGTCCCTGACCTCTAAATGCCACAGTCCCTGGTCACCTAACCTCCTCTTGGCCTTCTCTACACTCACTCCCATGGTGACCTCATTCAGTCCCACAGCCTTAAGATGGCATGTATGTATATATATGCTGATGAGGCCCATATGTCTCCCCCTCTCCTGGAGGTCTTCCCTAAACATTAGATTTGTAGATCCAACTTTTTCCTCAATAGATCCCTATCAGTCAAGTACCTCTGACTTAACATGCTCAAAGCTGAGCCACTGACTGTCCTGCCACAAACC